AACTCGCAGAGTCTCGTAACCTGCCGCAGCAAGCGACTTTGAATATGCCCGCTGATTAGCTGAAAGGTACGCTAACTGACGACGATCATAGCAATGTCCGCGTTTCACAGGTGGATGAAAACAGGTGACCAGGAGGACTAAGAGTAGCCTCTACAAAGGATTAAAAGTGTTGGATGACTATTTGTGATTGCTTAGCCTATCTATCACACAGGTGTCTGCTAGAATTACGTTAACTGATTGAGTCATCGCTTAACCATCCTTCGACGTTAAGCTAATAAGGTTGAGATCTAAACCCTGAACCTATTTGGTAATTGACACGTTTAAGCACTTGAGGTGGTGGCTTAAGTTGCGTCAGCAGCGATCAGGAATATTAAAACCTGTGGGCATAGTCTTGCATCGACCTAACTGCAAGGAACGTACTCATCACGCTTTGACTTGAGGCCCAAACCTATAGCATTTGCAAGCGATCACACAATATTAAGCTCTCAACGTGATTCCATGGTTTATTCGGACGTATGCAACCTGGACCTTGTCGAGTGTTTGGCCTGAGGAGCGAGTTTAAAACAGCTAAGGAGAGGTTCTCCTTAAATAAAAGCCGATCCCTAAGATCAGCAACCTACGCTTCAAATTCTCTAAGCTAAATTTCAGGCGTGCTCAATGACTTCTGCTCACCTCGTAAAATTTGCGTCGTCAAGTCTTAAAATTATTCCGATACGCAGCTCACCTGGATGCGCAATCAAATAAACCAAAACTCTAAAAAGGGAAAGTAATAAACTGTTCAATCTGGTACCCGCCATGTTAGTTCGTCGATCATGACGGGGGAAGAGGGGAGAGGGTGGAGGAGGGACCATCATTGCTCAGGAGGACTGTTGACTCGGGCGACAAATGGATTATGATGATGGATATCTACGCAGTAGCTGTCGCGTTTTGTTTTTACACACATAGTTCCCTAACGGCGGGATCAATAAGGGTATTGTGAATTTTCGAGAGGTGATCGACCACACAGCTGCCTCTGCATCACGGACACCAACACACACGGTTATACTACAACTGATACAAAAAGAAGTCAATCTGAATTCCTTGTATGCAATGTATTTTTTTATGGTGGACCATAAAAGAAATCCAGACTAAGAGGTTAAATGTACACATAGAATCATAAAAACAATATTTACTCTAAAAATAGCATCAAGGAGTCCACGCAGACCGCCTCTCACTCACAAATATCATTTTATGTCATCAGTTGGAGGCTTTGCAAACGAAAACTGTTAAACTGTAAATAGGCATCGGTTGGATTTTCCTCAGAAAAGATAGTTCAGGATCGGTCTCACTCATACTTCCCTCTTATGACAGTTCCACGAATTACCCAAAGCAGGCTGGGCGTAGTGACGCGGACAAAAAAGCTTATAATCAAGATACATGGTATCAACCGCACTCTCTTCTTTTTACCCAACTTTTAATCGGTGTAGTAACCTAGTCAAGAAGACCAGAGACAGGAGAGGGTGCAGGTGACGAGTGGTGCGTGAATCTGCAACTAGGCGTGGATGTGTGACATTTGTTACGGTTGTGCACACGTAATGACGCCTGTTTTGACCGCATCTGCTCTCCGTGTTAGTCTAGCGCATCTGCCTTGTAAGCCGCTTTAAGAGCCTTTGTTTACACCAATGGCAAGACTGAGTGGGTCCAACTAGAGATGCAATCGGACGCCACGGCTACCTAGATTCATCCCCCCTCCCCGCCTATCGATGGCCAACACTGTTTCAAAGCCTCGACAGATAAGAATAATACTTTACCTGCCTACGCATAAAAGAAGGATGCTGTACCTGAAAATAAGACGTCATTCACGATGCAGGTTAGTGTTTTGATAAAACACGAAATATAAAATGGATCATTGATAGGTGAAATTGGATTGCACCCGCAAAATCTCGATGAAATCGGCTGCCCCAAAAGGATGTTACAGAGGCTCAACCCAGGACTGAGCATCTAGACAGACAGAACGGGCCGCGTTAATATTCACACGGCTTGCGTGGGGTACGCTGAGGCTGTCAAGTCTAAAAATTGCCTACTATATTTTTTCAGCATCTAAACGCCTGCGCCAGTGAGCCTCAGGTGGAAAGATTAAATGTGTTCATGACATTGTTACATACAGTTCTGGGAAAAATTGCCCACTTTAAAGTATCGGAAGCCAGGGAATATAAGGCTCCCCGAAACAATATGGGAACGCAAACGAACACAAGCCTCTTAAATACGAAACCAAGGATCTTCTCTAGTGATAATTAGCACGTTTATTCATCCAAAAGAATTTTATGTAAGAGTCTATATACAACAGGAAGTTGCCCTACGTTTGCGAGCCTTAAAAATTCGATTGTCCTATTTTAATACTATCCGGACTTACCAGGCGCATATTCTTCAACTGCCAGGAATCGAACTGACAAAGGCCAGTTAATCGGCTCTGCAGCATTTTACATTTTTAGTCAGTGTTCGTCTTTGAAGTTCTTTTACTTCAGCGAACAAAGCAAAGAAAAAAAACTTTCTGTAAAGGCGGGTCATCAAATGCCTCAACAGTATGCAACTTTAAAGTCTCAGAGTCCTCTTTAACTACGGCCGATTCGGCACTCTTTAAAGATTTCGACTTTAATGGTCAAACTCCGTGGCATATACCTAAATAAATAAATAAATAGTTCTATTAAGTCCCCATTCGAATACTCAATGGGCATCGGCAATCATGTTTTTTTGCTTTTATAAACAAGTATACTTTCCAGGAAGTTGGTTGGAGGAACACTCCAAGCTCAAATTTCTCTTGCAAACAGAATGAATCGAGAAGTGTATTTCGAATATCGTTAAATGTAATATTATCACATTCAAGTCGACACTGCTTCCGACGTGGTCTCCTGCCAACCTCCAAGAGCACCAACACGGTTTCAGAGCTTTCCACTCTACGACG